CCCACATTCTAACGATTTCATAATATTTTATAGCTAACCTCACCCTCATGCTAAAAAATATAATGAATAGTTGAGAATTGAGTCCAAATAGGCCAAAAAACCAGGCCTAAGGTAAAATAGATAAGACTAAGAGTTATTTTAAGAATGTTTTTCTTTTTTTTAGGGTTTTATTTATTTGTCAGAGAGAGAGAGCACAAGCAGGGGGAGCGGCAGGGAGAGGGAGAAGCAGGCTTCCCGCTGAGCAGGGGGCCCGATGTGGGGCTCGATCCCAGGACCCCGGGAGCATGACCTGAGCCGAAGGCAGGTGCTTCACCGACTGAGACACCCAGGTGTCCCTTAAGAGTGTTTGTCTATTTCAAGATTGCTTTGGCTATTCGGGGTCTTTTTTGGTTCCATAGAAAACTTAGGATTGTTTGTTCTAGCTCTGTGAGAAATGCTGTTGGCATTTTGATAGGGATTGCATTAAATCTGTAGGTTGCTCTGGGTGGTAGAGACATTTTAACAATATTTGTTCTTCCAGTCCATGAGCATGGAATGTCTTTCCATTTCTTTGTATCCTCTTCAATTTCTTTCATCAGTGTTTTATAGTTTTCAGAGCATAGGTCTTTCACCTCTTTGGTTAAGTTTATCCCTGGGTATTTTATTATTTTTGGTGCAATTGTAAGTGGGATTGTTTTCTTAATTTCTCTTTCTGCTGCTTCATTATTAGCATATAGAAATGCCACAGATTTTGTGCATTGGTTTTGTATCTTGTGACATTAGTGAATTCATTTGTCAGTTCTAGTATTTGGTGAAGTCTTTAGGGTTTTCTATATATAGTATCACGTCATCTGCAAATAGTGAAAGTTTTACTTCTTCCTTACTAATTTGGATACGTTTTATTTCTTTTTGTTGTTTGATTTCTGTAGCTGGGACTTCCAGTACTATGTTGAATAAAAGTGGTGAAAGTGGACATCCCTGCCGTGTTCCTGACCTTAGGGGAAAAGCTCCCACAAAAGACCTCAAACAGCCAAAGTAATCTTGGAAAAAGAGAAAACTGGAGGTATCACAATTCCAGATTTCAAGTTAAATTACAAAGCTGTAGTAATCGAAATAGTATGGTACTGACACAAAAACAGGCACATAGATGAATGGAACAGAATAGAAAACCCAGAAATAAGCCCATAATTAATTATATGGTCAATTAATCTTTGAGAAAGGAGAGAATATGCAATGGGGGAAAGATAGTCTCTTCAACAAATGGTGTTGAATACAAACTGGTGAATACAAACAGCTACATGCAAAAGAATGAAACTGGACCACTTTCTTCCACCATACACAAAAATAAACTCAAACTTGATTAAGGACCTAAATGTGAGACATGAAATCATAAAAATCCTAGAAGAGAGCACGAGCAATAATTTCTCCGACATTGGTTGTAGCAACATCCTTCTCCTGAGGCAAGGGAAACAAAAACAAAAATAAAGGATTGGGATTGCATCAAAATAAAAAGCTTCTGCTTAGCAAAGGAAACAGTCAAAACTAAAAGGCAACCTATTGAATCGGAGAAAATATTTGCAAATGACATATCGGATGAAGGGTTAGTATCCAAAATATATAAAGAACTTACACAACTTAACACCCCAAGAAACAAATAATCCAATTAAAAAATGGGCAGAAGACATGAACAGATATTTCTCTGAAGAAGACCTACAGATGGTCAACAGACACATGAAAAGATGCTAAACATCACTCATCATCAGGGAAATGCAAATCATAACTACAACGAAGTATCACCTCACACAGGTCAGAATGGCTAAAATCAAAAACACAAGAAACAACAAGTGTTGGCGAGGATGTGGAGAAAAAGGAACCCTTGTGCACTGTTGGTGGGAATACAAACTGGTGCAGCCACTCTGGAAAAGAGTATATGGAGGTTCCTCAAAAAATTAAAAATAGAACTACCCTATAATATAGTAGTTGCACTCCTGGGTATTTCCTCCCAAAATACAAAAACACTCATTCAAAGGGATCCGTGCACCCCTATGTTTATGGCAGCATTATTTACAATAGCTACATTATGGAAGCAGCCCAAATACCCATCAACAGTTGAATGGATAAAGATGTGGTATATATATATATATATATATATATATATATATATATATATACACACACAATGGAATATTCTTCAGCCATAAAAAGAATGAAATCTTGCCACTTGTAACAACATGGATGGAGCTAGAGAGTGTAATGCTAAGTGAAATAAGTCAGTCAGAGAAGGACAAATACCATGGGATTTCACTCATATGAGGAATCTAAGAAACAAATGAGCAAAGGAAAAAAAGAGAGAGAGAGAAGTCAAGAAACAGACTCTTAACTATAGAGAACAAACTGATGGTTAGCAGCAGGGAGGTGGGGGGAGGGCTGGGTGGACTACGTGATGGAGACTAAGAGCACACTTATCATGATGAGCACTGAGTCATGTATAGACTTGTTGAATCACTATCTTGTACACCTGAAACTCATATAACACCGTATGTTAACTATACTGGAATTAAAAGAAAAAAACTTAGTAAAAAATAAATAAAAGTAACCATTTGTATTACAAAAAAAAGAATGTTTTTCTAAACATTGAAGAGCATTTTAAAACAAGGTTTTTTTTTTTTTTAAAGATTGTATCTATTTATTTGACAGAGAGAGACACAGCCAGAGAGGGAACACAAGCAGGGGGAGCAGGGGAGGGAGAAGCAGGCTTCCCGCCGAGCAGGGAGCCCAAAGCCCGACGCGGGGCTCGATCCCAGGACCCTGGGATCATGACCTGAGCCGAAGGCAGACGCTCAACGACTGAGCCACCCAGGCATCTTAAACAATATTTTTAACACTGTATTTGAATGTTTTGACCACTGCATTTTCCCTCTGGAACTTGCACAAAGATGCTGCTACTCTGTTTATCTAAATGACCTTTGTCAGATTAGGAGGGCAGTTGTTATTTATTCCTCTTTTGTCAACAAGGAAACTGAGGCCAGGAGGGTTGAAGTTACCTTCCTCCCAGCAGGAGGCCTCCCAGTGAGCAAGGGGCAGAGCCGTGAGCAGCTTCCCAACCAGGAACTGGCCCTGTGGTCTATCCAGCTACCACAGGTTGAAGAAATAGCCCAAGAGGAACCATAGAAATTACCCCCTAAACACCAAAGCAGCTCAGCACATGTCAGGATTATTAAAGCAGTTGGAGATATGTTTTCACTTTGGAAATGACAAATCACACACGCAGGTTATTTGGCAAAGGGGCAAACACTGAGCCGTGAGTAGCTGCAGTCACCATGCATACTGCAGGCCGCCAGCCTTGCAACGGGAACCCAGAGCAATGGCACTTGGGGTGGGGCCCGCCGCTAGCTGTCGTCTCTCCTTCCCTCCCTTGCTACGCATACTCTCCGCACCTAAGGGGAAGTGCGGAATGTTCTGGAAGGCAGGAGCCCCCCCACTCAGAAAGCGTGGAGCTAAGGTACTGTTGGCCATACTTCAAGAAGGAGGAAGGTATTCATGAGCTTGCAGTGTCTCCTGGCCCCCCGATCAGGTGCCCTCCCCACCTCTACCTTTTTGAAGTCATCTCTTCTAAAGGGCACATCCTAATGGGTCGGAGTCTGGATTTGAGTATGCACTGCTCTCTGGGGGAGGAGAAGAAGGTGCTCTTTGTGAAGAGCAAGTTCAGTTTGTGCAAAGTGGAAAGATTTCAAAACAGTCCAGGGGAGAGGAGGTGGGGGATCCAAGCTAATCCTAGCCATTGAAGCCCCATGGTTTGACTTCTGCTAGCCCCTTCTGGTCTTAGCATGATTTTGAGTCATGAGTTCCTCATGTTCCAGGCTACCGAGCGCCCTGCGAAGCTCTCTGACCCACCACAAGTGAGTCCTGGGGAGTTGGGCTCCAGGGCAGTTGGGCTCCAGTTCAGATTATCTCCCCGAGGATGACTTGTAGATATGATGGAGATAACACAGTCACCATCAGATGAGAAATAAATTCCACACATGCGCCACTTACATCTGAAAGGCCCCAACTGCTGGAGGCCAGACGATTTAACCTATCGGTAAGGAAGGGATTTCTGGAATTTTCTGTGAGCCTTCCAGGCCTCCTGCACCTCCTCCCTCTCACTAGGTCAAAGAATGGAAAAAGGAGATGCTCGTCTGGGATAGAACAGCTTGTGATGGGAAAATCAGCACACGAGTGAGGTTTTTGTAATATTTAATCTAAGGGTAAGAGTTTTGGTAATTATAATTTTGTAGGAGGAAACGATGTCCCTTGCTCTAAATATTTATATCACATACCTCAGGATCCTGGAGAAGGTTCTGGTTTGCACGTTGTAGTGGCTGGATGGACGCTTGGAAGGACTAGAGAGGGAATTTGGGCACAGGGGCGGTGGGGGGGTGCGGAATTGGGCTGGAGAAGTCACTCCTTCGAGCCTGAGATTCTGTGAAAGCTGGAGGTGCCAATTCATTTTGATAAGGGAACTGTAGTTTTTAAAGTACAAGATTATAGAGATGGGAGAACAAATTAATGGTTGCCAGAGGTTAGGGATGGTGGTGGGGGGCAGGGTGGGTGTGACTACAGAGGAATACACCAGGGAGATCTCTGTGGTGACGGAATAGTTTTTTATCTTGATTGTGGTGGTGGTCACACAAATCTATACATGTAATAAAAAATACAACTATACACACACATTGTACCTATGTCAATTTTCTGGGCTTTATATGGTACTACAATTATGTGTGATATAATCAGTGCGGGAGATTGGGTGAAGGGCAACTTCCTGTGAATCTATCCTTATTTCAAAATAAAAAGTCTAAAAGATCCGAGCACAATTCTGCATTTCTTTTATTTTTTATTTCTTTTTATTTTTTTTAAAGACTTTTTAAAAAATTTATTTGTCAGGGAGAGAGAACGAGTAGAGAGAGCGGCAGGCAGAGGGAGAAGCAGGTCCCCCTCCCCGCCCGAGCATGGAGCCCGATGCGGGACTCGATCCCAGGACCCCGGGATCGTGACCTGAGCTGAAGGCAGACGCTTAACGACTGAGCCACCCAGGCATCCCTCTGCATTTCTTTTAAGTGACCTACAAAACCTTTCATTTATCCCATTTTTTCTTTTGAGAGAAACCTACCCCCACCTCCCCACCCCCAAACACCATAACTGTTGAGAATTAGAACTACAAACTTAAGAAGAAACTTATCCTTTTCTTCATTGGGGGTAAAGAAGAGAATGAACGTGCCCTTCTTTTATTTTACTCTGCAAATCTGATGTGTCAGACGGAGGCTATTTGATTGGTAATGCCTTGAGCAGACTGGGAAGATTCTATATCTGACTAGGCCAGCTCTTCTCCCTGCCATGGAAAAAAAAGCAGAAACACGTTAAATTCCTTTCGTGCCTTCTACATGAACAGAAGCATAAGGGTAGGAAAGGAGGGAGAGGGCAGGCCAGGGGGGGTGTGGGGTCTTGTGGTTCCTGAATGAGAGGCTCCTCTCAGCTCAAAGGGAGCTGTGCTTCTGGGTTGAGAAACTGCCCCAGGAGGTCAGGCACTTGGAAGAGAAACAGCTCAGCTAGCCTCAGAGGGGGCCAGTTTGTGTTGAAGGGAGAAATGTGATCCAGCTTCTCCTTCCCACCTTCCCAAATACAGCAGAAAAGGAGATGGACCGAGCCTGGGCCCTTCAGCGGGAACAGGTGGTTGGTTGTAATGGCCAGGTTCTACAGGAATTTGGCGTGGGGGCACTTGCTGCAGGCTGTCAGTTTCCTGACACACTCTATCTCCCAGAGGCCCCATCTTGGCCTTCTTAGATTCCACCCATCTCACTGAACCTTCTTGAGTGCATCTCATCTGGCGCATTCAACCAAATACTTGACTATAAGCTGTCTCATCTTATTCTCTTATGGTGAGTCCCAGGCCTGCTGGGTTCAAATCATAGTTCTACCACTTACTAGCGATGTGATCTTGGGCAAGTCATCTTCACCTCTCTGCTCCTCAGTTTGCTCATCTGTTAAATAGGGGTCATACCTGCCTTACAGGGTTTGTCCAGTGACTGGCACCTAATAGGTGCTTAGCAAGTGTCAACTTCTCTTTGTTCACTGTTTCCCATGTGGATGCCACATGGGTCACTAGACTGGAAGCTCCTTGAGAGAGCTTCCTTCTCTTCTCCCTGCTCCCCCAGCCCAGCACCTAGCATATGGTTGGGCACACAGCACACTGTTAATGAGTCCTTGTTGGCTAGGCTGAATGGGCCTTTCCTGGGTACCTCAGTGATGCCGACGGAGACCCAGAAATGGGTGTAAGGGAATACCAATATTCTCTCTCTTTTTTTTTAAAGACTCCCCGCTGAGTAGGGAGTCCAATGTGGGGCTCGATCCGAGGACTCTGGGATCATGACCTGAGCCAAAGGCAGACGCTTAACCGACTGAGCCACCCAAGCGCCCCAATATTCTGTTTCAAAGATATGAAAGTAACATGCTGAATTCTTTACTTCCTTGATACACTGTTACAGTAAAACAGTCTACGTGCTAAGGCCTGCCTTTAGTGCAAATATAATTTTATAATTTATATTTTAAAATATAAAATTTTTAAAATAATTTTTAGACAATTACATAGCTCGAGTAAAATTAAAGCCAATGCCTAAGTATCTTGACAAAATGGCATCTTGATCAGTTTATCAGAAGTGGAGCAGGAGAAGAAATCAACTAGATTGACATGCTCATTACCACAGAATTCAGAAGGTTATTAAAGATAGCAAAAGAATTGACCCTTCTATACTCCATTGTCTTGGGACCACACCTCAGTCTGCAGTCATTTGTGAGGGACAGTGGAAAGAGGAATGGATCAGAAAATGAAGACCAGAGATACTGTCTCAGATTTAGTCATTCATTCACTCATTCAGGCAACAAATATTTACTGAGTGCCTGCCACGGAGCTAGGCTCTATGCTTCATAGACACGAAACTGCCCTGTGTGAAATTTACTATCAGTCAGTTCATCTCTCTGGGTCTCATGCTCCCCATCTGTCAAATGGTAACAAATCTATTTCTATTGCAATTACGAGAATTCTAGAAAGAAGTGCAGGGGCCAGAGCCTTGCAGACTGTTATTGTTCTCTACTGTTGTCCTCTATGTAATGGTCATGTGACTAGCTTGTGCTCATTTGAAAATTATGTCCAAACTCTATTTCAGGGGGGCTGAGGATGTTCTGCTTATCTCATTTTCCTTCCTTACATGTTGGCAAGCCAACCAAGACCAGGGTGAGCAGGAGGGACAGAGAGCTCTACGATACTAGGCTGAAGCGTTATAGTGACTAGCACTCCACTTCCTGTTCTCAAATGGGTTGGATTTTCAGACATGGTCCTTGTGATGGGTCGAATCAGGTCCCCTTCCAAAAAGATATGTTGAAGCCCTAACCCTGGGTACTTGTGAGTGTGACCTTATGGAAATAGGGTCTTTGCAGATGTAATCAAGATGAGGTCGTTAGGGTGGGCTCTAATCCAATATGACTGATGTCCTTATAGCGGAGGGAAATGTGAACAGACACCGACACACAATGTCATGTGAAGACACACACAGACACAGAGGGAAGATGGAGGCCGAGACCGAAGCCGTGCAGCCACAAGCCGGAAACACCTGGGGCTACCAGAAGCTGGAAGAGGCAAGGAAGGATCCTACCCTAGAGGCTTTGGAGGGAGCATGCCCCTGCCACACCTTGATTTCAAACTCTAGCTTCTGGAACTGTGAGAGAATGAATTTCTAGTGTGTTAAGCCACCCTGTCAGTGGTAATTTGTTATGGATGCCCTAGGAAACAAATACAGTCCCCAAACAAAAATAGCTCCACTGTGGACTTCCCTCTGCCCTCCATGTAGTCATGGTGACTCTCCTTTTCTGTCAGGAACCCATGTGAAAATGATGCCTTGATCCCAGTGCCTAAAAATGTGGGTCTCCAGAATGGCAGAAGAGGTTGGGTGGAATCCTTAGTTCTGTTTTATGTTTTTCAAATAAGTCAAAATGGAAGGCAAGAATGCCCCCCACCACCCTTACCTTCTCTGCTCCCAAGTTTGATGGAAAATAGTAAGAGTAGGTAGGCACGGGTCCTATAGGCATGGGGCCGACTAAGCAAGTGGCTGCCGTGGGCCCTCAGCATGGAGACCATCTTGGGAAGGCCATGGAGTCCATTTTGGGTCCTGCTAAAGGCCAGCGGGGCTTGGAGGAGAACTGACCTCATTCAAGGTTTCCAAGCCCTGTCAGCTTGTCTCCACCTAGACCTCACTCTTGCAGCCAACCAGAGGCTGCTGTCCTAGCAAAGGAGGACAGATGAGCAATTCATTTAATCAATGCATAGGTGTTATTTTGAAAATTACTATTTGGCAGCCACCATAGTAAGAACTGATTCAGGCAAGAGTCATCAATGGATCCTAAAGCTAGAGAGTGAAAATTTTATGAGAAACATGTTATCTAGCGTGGTCTCAAAGTATCTCCTCATACATTAGTTATTAAGTACGAAAAGAAAAGTCGTATCTTTTTTTTTTTAAGAGAGGGAGTGGGGTGGAGGAGCAGAGGGAGAGAGAGAATCAAGCAGATTCCACACCCAGCACGGAGCCCCATGCAGGGCTTGATCTCAAGACCCTGAGATCATGACCTGAGCCAAAATCAAGAGTTGGACTCTTAACCGACTGAGCCACCCAGGCGCCCCATGAAAAATTGTATCTTTATGGTGGAAAAACATGGTGGGCATTTAACCAATTAATCAAAGTTATCATCAACAATCATCATATGCCTTTTTATGTTTTACTCATGCCAGAAATGTATAACCTCTCATCACGAGGACACATCAGACAAACCCCAACTGGGGAACATTCTACAAAGTAACTGGCCTGTACTCTTCTAAAAGGTTGATATCATGAAAGACAAAGAAAGGCTGGGGGCTGCTCCAGATTGAAGGACACTTGAGAGAATCAAGAGACATGACAACTAAATACAATGTGTGATCCTAGACTGCACCATGGACCAGGAAAAAAAAAAAAAGCTATGAAGGACATTCTTGGGACAATTAGCACAACTGGAATATGACCTGTAGATTATATAGTGGTATGGTATATCAGTGTTATACTTCTTGAATTTGCCAACTTTACTGTGTTTATCTAACAGAATGTCCTTGTTCTTAGGAAATACATATTGAAGTATTGGGGGCAAAGGAATATGATGTCTGCAACTCACTCTCAAGTGCTTCAGACACAAAAATGTGTGTGTGTATGTGTGTGTGTATAGGGAGAATGGTCAATATAACAAGATGCTAACAACAGATGAATCTTGATAAAGGGCATGTGAAAGTTCTTTTTACTATTTTTGCATACGATTTTCTGGACCTTGAAAGTATTTCAAATTAAAATTGTAAACAAGATTATTTTGAGCATTTAACCATGTGCCCGATGCTGTGCTCAGTGTGAGATACTCAAAGGAGCATAAGACACGGCCTTGATCCTTAACCCAGGAGCTCATAGTCTAGGATGGACAGGACAAAAAAAGAGGCCAGCACATTTCAGTGTGATAAAGGAAGCTGCAAGAGCACAGGGAAGGTACACTAAACCCAGGCTGCCTGGGGAAGGGGGCCAGAGGAGGCTGTTTGCAGAGGAGGTAAAGGGGAGGCTTCAAGTTGGGGGAACTCATTCAGTTTGGGGTGCTGGTGGGCTATGCAAGCAGGGCTGGCTGACAGACTGTGGGACATAGGGAAGATGCCCCGGCCTGCAGGCAAGGGGAAGCCATCTGCCCCCCTGAGGACAGACAACAAGGCATGGATTAGCAGGTGTTGGGGGCCAGGCCAAAGTCACCATAGCTTCTGAGGTAATAGGAAAAGCGCAGACATAAGCAAAACAACTTAAGGCTGAAAAGTTGAACACAAGTGTGGTTACTGATGGCATAGGATGAACTTGGCGGGGCTGTATATTGAATGTCCTGGAGACATCAGCCCCCAGATTGATCACTATACATAACCTGGATAAGGGCATGGCCCCAAATTAGTTAGGATGGCTAATAATAGACTGCAAGGCAGGAAGAGAACGTCAAGTGATCATAAGAAACTAAAGAAGTGATTTTTTTTGAGAACACGATGAGCTTCACCAGCAATAAGGATAAGGTGGTACCCAATTAACACACAACAGGGTGGGGAGAGGTTGCTGTTAGCAGGAAAAATCCTGAGAATAGTACCAGGTCCTAGAATAAAGGGAATCAGGAGGCAGTACTGCTGTTTCAGAGGGTGATGGGGGATTGGGAATTTCCGCTCAATTACAGGATACAAGAGCCGGAATGGGAAAGAACCTGAATATTCCTAGCAAGAGCCTGGTGGTAGCTCGTTTT